ATCGTCCCAAGCGGAGTCAGCGGACAAATTTGGAGTCCAAATCCTCGAGTTCCACAGTTTTCCGGTTATTTTATCGCAGAGTCCGCTTTCAAGAACTGAGCTCAAAGCTCAATTTCAGGAGAACCATGCTGTCAGTATAACATACATACCACATTACAACACATTACCTACCCAGGCAGAGATCTCCATTGGGCTCCCGCAAAAAGCCGAGGAAAATAACTCGTCAGCGATTGACAGTTGTTCCCTGTGGAGGGATATTAGAAATCCCACGCTCCCCTTTTTCTTATATTCGTTTTCATTCTAGGACAGAACCTGCCATAAGATATTATCTGCGCGGTGGCACTGCGTAGTAGGCTTGAAGAGTGCTAAAAGAAACACTCACTTCAGACGACTACAACTTCTAGATAAATGGTTTTAGCAAAGTGGCAAACACATTGGGAGACCACCGCTTTTCTGGCAAATGATGACCGCATTGCGCAGTTCGGGAAGTGTGCTGGTGTAGGGTCGGTATATTTCGTTGACACGCGGTCCTTTCCTGTTGTTCGTCTGAGATCCAGGCTAATTCCACATTCGTGGGCTAGGTTGTTTGCAAGTTCTGGTACTTTAGTCGCACTGAATGCTTCGAACGAGGAATGGGAATTTTGTCAGAGGGCCCTTTCAATGTTTCGGCTCAGAAGGAGATTTTGGCCTTCTTTTCACGCGAACCTAAATGTACAACGTGGAGCCCTAGTTCTCAGTCTTTCTGCTCTATATCAGTCGTTCTTCTACCTCATTTCTGTTTTCTGCTGATTTTTTTGAAACTTCTTTTTCTTTCTTTTTCCTGTTATTGACCGTTTATTCCATATCTTCTGTCCATCAATTTGTGCGCACCTTTTCTCAGTAATTAATAAATAATAAATGGGAAATCCCATTTCTAACTTCCAAATTATTTTCAATGTCAAATCATGCTGCAGCTTCTCCAAACTCTGCCGGTTTTGTTTTCAGAAAACCACTGAATTCACTCTGTAAGGTCATCATGCCAAAATTGCTTTGACGGCAGAGAAAGCTTTTCCGTCCCCGCACCACTCCTGTAAGGTTTTCTGTTGGAAATTTCGAGATTCATCAGCTTATATCACCTACCTGAATTTCGCAATGAAGCGCTTTGATCGACTAGGCTGAAGGATTCTTATGCATCCGACGTAAAGTCAAATTCAAAATAGTAGTTATTTGAATACATGTTGCCCTGCTGACGGACTTGTAGAAACTCCGATGTGTTTCTTGTCGTATTATGTCAAATGGCTTAGAGCTGTGATGTGTTTTCATGAACAATATATATTAGGTACCGGATATCTTAGTGTCGCTTTTTCATCACGGGTTTCGGATCACCAATATTTTAATTCAGAATCCGGGGACTGAAACAGTATATTCATCGAATGACTCACTAGCTTTTTCCCATTTACCAGTATGAGCGGAAACCTCTACGATTTAAGCTAGGAATTTTTGAATCGAAAATGGGTCGGTTTTGACATCATCCGACAAATCATCCCTTTCAAAAAAGCTAAAAAAAAACGCCAAAAAAAGCTAAAAGTTAGGCCTGGACAAAAGAAGTACACATTTGGTGAGAGTAGGGTCTACACTGTATGGTGGAAAAGTTAAAAATTACCAGCTCAAGTGGTGAAATTTCCCGGGGTCTTTTTTGCTACATGTGGCCAAAAACGCACCCCTTTTGAGCACACGTGAGTAGCATTTGAGCAGATTTATAAGAATTTCTTGTGCAATCAACTTCGTTAAAGCGTTTGTGCATCATAGATCAATTATCGCAGTGTCCTACCATTTCAGCGCAGGACTGTTGCAGCCCCGTCTCGACTGATTTGACTAGGGCCGCCTTTTTGACGACGATTGCGGGCATCACTTCAAAGACTTCACCGTCTTTTGAGAAAAGTGTGAAAAACCGATGAGCGTTCTAAATGGTAGTATTCCCTCCAACAAATGCAACGTTGGTTTGGTGGCCGCAAGCTGGTGCTCTCAGCACGAATTTTGAAGCATTTGGTACACACATGCGAATTTGCACACTGGACCCAAGGATTTTCAAAAAAAAGTATAAAAACTGGGGAAAGTTAAATTGTAAACCAACAATAGACAGCAATAAGCAACATACTTTGCAGTATTAGTGAGCTTAAAGGACTTTCTCAGATATTGATTTTCCATGGTAATCGGCCCCAAATTTTCCTGAACACTGAAAAGCGACACTAAGAGATCCGGTACCTAATAAATTTCCAGTGAACGTCTCTATTGCGAACCCCTCGCTGCACACTGGCTTCTCAGCCTTCACTCAACTTTGAGAAGGTTATCATTTCTTTAGTAAATGATGATGTTGTCCTTCCAGCAAAGCAGATCGTGGATCCTTCTACTAGCGGCCCACCCAAGTAGTCTCCTTACGACTTTTTCTTGGGCTCTGAAGACTCTACACAATGGAAAAAACAGAATACCATATGCTGTGAAATACTTGACCGCGAGGTGCTCGTAAAAATCTGCAGTCCCCATGGGTGCATGGCGAGAATTTTGAACATCGGCTTACATCGCAGCACTTGCAAGATAAATATGAATTTTAACTATATATTAAATATATATTGATGGATATTAAATAGATTTTGTGGACATGCATTTTTATATCTCTTTCCATATTTATGCCCTCTGTATAGCACATTTCCTACTTCATTGAACATTTCCAGCTAGAAAATTATAGAGCAGCTAACTTGCTTGTCTAGATGAGTCTGACATGGGTTTTTCTACTTCTATGCTATTTCTGCGTGCTTTCATGACATCTGTGTCGGATTTTGTGGCAGCATTTGTGTATCCCAACAGCAAACTTGTACCACCGGCGTTTCACCCTTTGTGCAGTTATTTTCTAAACTATGAAGATAGACATGACCTGACCTGTCTGTCCGCAACAGTGAGGGATCAAGGATTTAATGGGCAGCGCTGGCCGATTTTTTCGAGAATCACCATCTATTCCGGTTCCATCCAAAATTGGTGAGGCATCCAAGAGGGGTATTCGAATTTTACAACACTTGGCTAGACGACCAATGACTCTCTCAATATTTTATGTTTAGTCTTCAATAACTGAAATAATTGCTCATCTAGGGAGTATCGCAAAAATTGATTGACCTGGGTTGGTGCGGCTAACAGAGGAAACAAAGCATCACTTCGTAGTCGCTCCCTACTTCCGTCCTTGCGTTCTGCAAATGTTACAATATATTAAATAATGCATTAGGTTGAGTCTTTGTGTTCCGGCAGCCACTGATCCTGAAGATAAGAGCTATCAATTTTTCACTCTAATGAACCTTTCATTGGAGGGGCCTTTTTTGTTTCTTTATGCCCATGGCATTTTTCTACACCTCTATTATTTGTATCTGAGAATTCCTTCTTGCCTGTTGATGTTTATATACATGTTCAGGAGGTCTCAGGCGCTTCCTAATTTTTTGTCACCATGAAAGCAAACTGATGCAAACTTATGAATGCCCAGATTCGTTCCCAAGCTTGCCGTGTTATCGTGGTTGCGGGCAGCGTTAATTTACGCTCTGTATGTTCATTAACCCGGATTATGGATTGTGTGACGAGGCACGAGGGTTTGCGGCCGATCGGTTGGTGGGTTCTCGAGGTCGACGTGACGGCAGAACGAACAGTTGCCTTCGGGACGCTCACACGCGGCTGTCCTCGTCATCCAGAAACGCTGGTGCTCTGAGAGGCCTGAGCAGGAGGAGGAGGGATAGAGGCGATGGACGGACCGATAGAGAGCGGCTTGTGACCGCCTAGAAGCGAGCCACTCCGATCGTCGGCCGGCTTGCTTCCCTCGTTGATCGCTTAATGATCAACCTGACGTTCGCCTTCCTCAACTCCGAACTCCACAACTGTTCCGATCCAGTAGTGCTACCGTACGCTACTAAAACGCAGATTATTCAGTTCCTTTTGGTTACTGTACCTACTGCAGTGGATAGCTCATGATTCTCATATTTTGATAGCTTTTATTAGTGATTTACGCAAATTGCAGATTGCTATTTCTTTTCAGTTATGAGAGCCACGACATTGCAGAATTCTGATTTGTGAACATTCATATGTAATCGCGGAATATATAAACAAAAATATCCGTTGCAATTTACAGATGGTTGATTTGCTGTGTCCGTTCTTATTCATTGGCATGTTATCCCTTTGAACTGGAAGTGCTGTGTAAACCAAGCACTTATGCAGTATATTGTTTTCCTTATCGTTTTAGTGTTTTAGTGTTTTCCTTATTATTTTCCTTATCACTTATGCAACATTGGGTTTTCCATATCATTTCTGGTCCCTAAATGCAATACTCTGCCTTTGTTTGTGACTTCAAATTTTTCTCGTCAAGCTGTCTATTCACCCCTGAGATGACATTTGATGTCGTACTGTAGATTACTGTTAATTGCATCTACGGCTGCAGAACAGGGGGACTGGAGGTGGCGGTGTTCCCTAATAGAGTCATCCTATCAGAAGAAATGTCTCTTTAGTGATTCTCATGTTTACATTACCGTATTTGGTGGACTGAGGTCATTTCAGCTCACAACTAACTTTCAATATGTTGGTTGCATTACTGTAATTCACCGTGGGTCACACTGTGATCGTACTTCATTGCTACATCCTTTATTTTTCTTTGCCCTTTTCCCTTCTACTGGGTTCTTAGGCACTATAAGTCGTACCAATAATCGAGTGGATCTACTCCAGTCGTCCTAAACTGCGATCAATCATCATCTATCAACGGTTACCCCCTATTGGATTTCGCATCGTATTGTCTGCTAAGCGGTGCCGTAATCGCTTACAGATGTTCTGCTCACATATTCATTGTATTCCTAAGCTCAATTGTTGCTCTTGTGCACGCCTTGATTGAGTGCCTTTGATCAGTTTAACAAATCGATTTCGTACCTGATCGAATTTTGTAAACATTAAGTTCTTACTGAAAAGTTAATTTTCAGTTTACTAGTTCAGTCTGCTATGCAATGATTTTGGTGCTGCCGTTGCTTTTTTTATTCATAACTACATCAAAAGCTGGTTTTCGAGAGACTCCTGTTAATCAGTCTGTACTACTGGGGCAGGATGTCACATTTAGATGTGCGGCTGAGAAGTCATCTTCTAGCTCAGAATTGTGAGTATTCGTAACTATTCTTTGGTTTCATTGTAATGTTAGTTTTTTAATGTTTTATACGCGACAACTGCTCGTATAAGCGGAAAAATGACGACGATTTTTCTCAGCTAATGAAGAGGGCAATTTTCCGACATTCCACTATCGGATGAGATCCAGTTCAACCGCAACTTCTTACCGGTGTTGACAGAAGGAGCACTTCTAGTCTTCATCTTCCTGAAGAGCGACGAGAACGAGCCCTGTTTCCTTCTCAGTAAAGGAAGTACCCTACTAGCTTGTAAAGCTCCTCCTTCTGAGGGCACCCGTGAAATGGGACTTCTGAATCTCACCCCTTATAAATTCAAAAACTATGTACAAAGAACAGTATCAAGTTCCAGAAACAACTTTTGAATCGAAATAAAAATCAAAGAACTTCAGGTGTAATAAACAGTAATATACCAAAGAATACGATTTCGTTGTAGGTACAGTCAATGGCGCAGCAACACGGGTGCTCTTCTAGGATTTCATGATGTAGGCCCTTTAGCTGGTCATCAGGGTCGGTACAGTTACCTCAAGGTATGCCAATCAATCGATTCCATTAATTTACCAAGATGCTTCATATTTACTGGAATTCGTTTGAGATTTGATTGAATAAGGTTACTATCATAATCAGTTCTTTACCGTCATAATATCTGCTGGTTCAGTCATCCCGAGAGGAACTGCACCTTCGGATTGAACGGGTGACACTGGAGGATGACGGTCAATTCGAATGTCAAATGCTCCGGCCAGATGAGGGCCCTATAAGGGCTGCTGCTTACCTGACCGTAATCGGTAAGCAATTCAATAATCCACCAATTCCCTCGAATTTGAAGCGGATGCTTTCCTTTCAGTGCCTCCAAGAACCGTTCACTTCACAAATTATCAATCCGGAACCATCGTTGATGTAAACGAAGAGATTCCTCTCAATCTCACATGCGAAGCGCCTAACGCCAAACCAGAGGCTGTCATCACGTGGTGCGAGGTTTCTGGGACACATGATCAGTTTCAAGAAAAAAATCTTATTTAAGGTATATTAATGGGAGAAAAATCGAGGAAGGTGTTCAGCGTTGGGGATCCTACAATCTCAACAAGACGATAACTAGTTATGCAGCGTTACAATGGCGTCCAAGGTGAGCACTCTCTTGAGCTGTACCTGCTTTCCATTTAAAGTCCATTTTCTTTTCAAGGCGCATCGATCACAAGAAGGTGTTGACCTGTGAAGCGGCTCATCAAGATAGTGGAACGCAAATTCGCACTAATCTCACTCTGAATGTGCTGTGTGAGTTGTTCTGCTAAGACTCACTTCTCCCACATCGCTACCTGTTTTGATATTCATGACCTCATAATCACTGCTGTGTCGCGCTCTCATCTTCCTGTCTCACTCCGTGGATTGCCTTCTTATCGGCGTCATTTTCGAGTCACTCAAGATGCGTTAATGTGTTCATTCGAAGCAATGTTTCCTTTTCGCCAATCGCCGCGAACGATTGAGGCCGAGAGTCGGCCACTTCATGGCCACAGCCGCTGCTGTGGGCCGTGGCTCCAATGGTTTTCGTATGCAGATTTCCGCTATTCATCAAGGCCTCTTGGCTTTTGGTGAAGCCGCGCTATGATATAGGGCCACGATCGAGCACAACTGCCACCGCGGCGCCAGATGGCGCCGGATACCTGCGCAGTTTAGTGCACTGCTGCGAATACAATTGAACGTCGTCGTGCATGATTAGGAGAAATACGAAAACAACTTAGAGGCTGGTAATAAGCTCCCAAATTAGGGTCTTTTGATGAGTTAGTGTCAATGCACTAGTGTTACTTTTATTTAGTAGACCTTTTCTATCGAGGCTTTCGACATTTTCTTTACTAATCAAACATATAAACGTGAGCTTCGGCCTACATTACACTCTAGAAGGAGCTGGGTCACATTAATCAATGAAAAAACTCGTATGCTCTTTTACAATCCCCTTTGGGATTCACCATGTGTTCGGGTTCCACTCGGGAGTATTGCGGCTTGTCAATGCGTATTTGACCCACACAAAGGTTTGACAATTTTTTTTACCAGTAAGTCAAGTCCCGGAGATATATTAGTGGCCAAGGAAAGTGAGATGAGCCGGGGACTGTTTCTAGAACAACGCATGCGGGTAAGTCATCTCTTGGCACCGCCTTAGGTTAACAATGTCTCACATTGTTGATTCATGAGCGTTGGCCCTTTGCGCCACACATGAGGCTGACGGTAATGTGGGTTCGCAGACGCTTCGCGTAGCTATCAGAGCCTTCTCAGCGGGGGCACCGCTTTGCTTTTGATTTGTGGCATAGCCCCTTCCAAACCTGTGAGGTGCTCAAAATTGCGCCAATATTGGTTGCCGCCAGCCATCACGACTACTTTGAATAGAACAGCCAAGAGCTCTTAGTGAATGCCAACCTTTGGGTCGATGTAGAGCTTTGTATGAAGAACAAGATCAGAAGAAATAGATGGTTCCCAACTATTTTATTTTACGCACCCGCCGGCAGGTGTTCAGAATTACTACTATCAACCTTGCCGCATTCCAGATCCACCTGATCGGCCGCGAGTTTCGATGCTGAACGGTGATTCATTCGTACGAGCTGGTGATAATGTGACTTTGGCATGTGTGGTTACTGGTGGTAATCCACCGCCGGACGTCTCATGGTATCTCAAAGACCGCCTGCTTGATGCCCGTTTCCACTACGATATGCAGACACAGGTACAAGCAGATTGCATTCAGCTGAATCTTAAGATCACCACATGTGGTCTTAGTGGCCCATTTGAAAGAGGCAATATTTGATCGTTTCCACGTTACACTACGCCCACCTGCCAATGTGCCAATCACTGGTGTTGCTTCGCGCCTCGTTATTTGGCGCTGGGGTCATCGGGAAATGGCCATTGGTACGGTTATTGATGTCCCGGTTTAATTTTATATCACATTGCCGGGGTTAGCTATTTATTCCAACTGGCTGCAGCAGGTAACGAAGAGATGTCCATTCTGATCGGAGCTAGAGTAAAAATCTGAGGAGAGCCTAGACTGGTTAGGACAGTATTTGTTTGAGCCCTTTTTTTACTCAGTATTGTAAATTTCGCACATCTGTACATGAAAGTTGTTTCTTTGGAAATGATCTAAAAACTGTGCTTGAAAGTGCCCCATATCAACCGAACTTTGAAAGAGTTGATAGAAAAATATTCTTCCTCGAGTCATCAGCTAATTTTACTAACTCGAATTTCTCATCGGAGAGCTGAAATTGGTTTTACCATCACTATACTGGTTTTATTAGTGATTACAGCTTGATTTGTAACATTGACGTGTTATACATATCTACGAAAGTCGCTGAGGAACAAGTCAGCAACGCAACGCATCAGTTGTAATCCCAAAGGTTAACTGCAAGATGTACTTCTCAACTGAAATCTGAATGATATCCTTTCCGCGCTTCTACTTATCGCCTTTAAAGTCCGACCTCGTAGCATGTGCTAGAAAGTCAACCCAAGAAGTTTCATAACCGTAACTCTTTGATAACCAATGTTTTGGTCACCCCCAAAAAGCGCTCTTATCTAGGAGGTACTTCCCAAGAGAATCAGAGCAAGAAAAACGACAGATGGCCTCAGAGAGCCTTTGAGTGTTGCGGTACGGCGAATAAAAACGACTTTTTCGCAATTATCTCTCGAATTGTATATTCGATACGGAATTGAATATGACATATCGATGTATCGACTAATGTCAAAACATCTATAGTCGGCCTCGGTCAAAAGTGTTTCGGAGAGTTATTTGTCAAGCGACGAGTCAATGCCCCATATGTGAGGCTGAAGATGGGCCGACGCGAGTGTTCCCCGGGGAGTGTCTCAGATTGTGAGCCGTAAAATATGGATTCAAAAGCATTTGCAGTCGAGGGACCTCTTAAGGCTTCAATGCATCTTGAGACTGGACCGGATCAGCCTGGTTAGATGCTTCTTGATCATTCATATCAGTTCCTCAATTTCCGAGACTTTATAGTATGACTTCCTTAAATTAATTATCGTAGGTTACTATCTATTTAATTTATGTGTGAGCGTCAAAGAAAGGTTCAGAGTTGTTCAATATGGTCGTGCTTGCCTTGGATAACGTTTGCGTCGGCATCTGTGGGATGAATTGGCGCATGATTGTTTCCCTCTTTGGTCTGGACATTACTCCAACACTGGCCCACCAAAGTTGCTAGATATTTATTTTGAAAAAATGACTCGGCACAAAAGAGTTAGCCGGAGATGCGTGTTACAAGCCTTTCCTTTGATGGGCCAGGGCTGTTGCTAAGCAGTGTCTACGAAGTGGAATCTAAAGGCCATTCCTGCTACTGCTGATAAACCAGTGCCCATTTTGTGTAGGAATACCGTAGACATTCACATCTAACTAAACCAGGCCTGCAGCAGCTTTCTTCTGAAAATGAGCGCAATCGTAGCATCGGTGGCACAGAATTCAGCTCTGTTTATAAAACCATTAGGTACAACTGTTTGACTTGCGCGATTTGTACCGTATCTGGAAAAGCAGTGTTCAGTGTTCATTATGGGAAAGTACTCTGTGGCTGAAGATTCACTCACACTCTCGATTTACAAAATAAATGGTCAGAGCCTTCAAATTCATTTTTTGACCCGGTAAATTCGGTATCTATCGTGCTTTTTTTCCAACGACTCTACTGTGGAAAATGAAGCCTTTATTGTTGATCGATCACATCTTTAGGATGCAACTTGCATGTTACTTCCGCTCAGTATCGCAATAAATAATTTGAGTGCAATTTGTTTTCGCAGTAAACTGGCAGTGACTTACCAATCTGAAAATCAGTTTCACTCTCCCAAATGGCTCTGGTACCAATTAGCCGATCCCGGGGGATGGAAGGTGTGAGCGACACCCGATCCGTAATTTGACCCCCTTGTATGTGATGCTTGTGTCCGAAATGCCTTTGGAAGTGATTTCGTATTCCTCTCATCATAAACGTTTTTTTCAGGAGACTAAAAATACGTACTCATTTCTCGCCGAACCCGAGGACAATCTGGCTAGTTATGATTGCCGAGCTTCGAACAGAGTTGGCCAGGAACCACAAACACGTTCAATACACGTGAAAGTGGCTTGTAAGTGGCGATGTTACATTAGCAGGACTATGTGGACATGATGATGACAAATGCTGTTACAACTTATCGTCAATCCGGCTCATTTAGATGCACCACAAGCAGTGGAAGTGCTCGGCGAAAGCAATATTCGACAAGGAAGTGTCACTGTCGTGCAGTGTCGAACAAAGTAACCCCTTTTTCGCATTTTTATGAATTAGAAATATTGATTTTGCATATTGTTAAAACTAGCGGTAGAGAGCCTTCAAAATTTGTTTGCTCTGTTATCTTGCCGCACTACGTAAACTCCCTTCCTTTAAACGTGAAGAGCATCAGGTGCGGACCATACACCACAAGTGACTACGACCTCCACAAAGCGTAAATGCTTTCTCCCAATGAAATGATTACCCTGTTGCAGTTGTATTCCATCCGTTGCTACTAATTACAAATATCATTTACCAAATCGGCTATCACCATGTACCAGGGTCACATGAAGACCGTCGTCACTTGTGGTGTATGGTCTGCACCCGACGTTCTTCTCGTTTTTTGAAAGGGAGAGTTCCTTAAGTCAATCTTGCGACGCGCCTGCCGCACGTTCAACCCCGCCTCTAAAATTATGTAGAAAAGGACGTTGAGCAGAGAATAGTTAGCGAATATATGCTGAAACAGCGAATTTTACGCTATTTTAGCTTTCTTCGCTATTCGCTTTGCTCTCAAATGCAATATTTCCACCGCCTTCAAATATAGAAATTCACGACCAAAATTCCATATAAGCTCCCTCCTCCCCATGCGGGAAGTACGACAACGTGGAACCTCGACTGTGACTCACTTTAGCGTTCAGCCAATTAAGTTCAACGGTGTGGCTAAACAATCCTGCTTTTGAGTCCCTATCACATCTACCCCTTGTTCACAAATTTGATGGGTCCTTTGCTGGCATTTTGTTGTGGGAGGATTTCAATTCGTCACTCTTCCTCTCCGTTTACGTTCTTATAACGAATCATATTATCTCCAAAGAGAAGTCTAGAAAGCTCAAAGGTTTTGGTAATCTTTTGACCGAGTGAATTTGACGCTTTATTGGGATGGAACTTCTCTCGTCTATAATCCTGTTCTGGTCTTGAGTCCGGCCAAAAATGAGCGTGCGGCCAAACGATAATTGCTTAATTGATGGTCCGCGCACTTCGTTACGTCATCGACAATCGTGGAAGGGATTTGCCCAACTGTCAACTGACTTTCAGAATAGATGTAATTGATGAATTGATAGTAATTGAATGATCACAGACTGTCAATTAGATGTGGTCGAGACAAGTGTGGTAACGAATGTGATTGAGAGAGAAGCAAATAATGTCTGCATTTACAGACCATCGAATCCTGTATCGCGAATCTCCTGGCTTGTCAATGGTCATCCCGTACCGGCCACTGTACAAAGTGAACATCAGCAGGTAACCAGAATCAACAACTTGGCAAAATGCACTTATTTGATACCATACTTAAAATTCAACAATATTGTAAGCAGCCCTAGAGCGTGGAGGCATGTTTGGTGGCAGATGAAATGAGCTAAAAAATTGTATGTCGCATGCTCTCTAGGGAGCCCTAACATAGCTGTGATTCTGTAATTTTACGTGGGTTGAAAAACGCAAGAAATTACTCCCCACTTTCTTCATTTTTCAACATTCAAGTCCGACAACCATGTATGCTTTCACGCCTGAAAGACCCTAATTGTGGAGGAACCCTGGAATTTCGAAGGCGTTATTATGTGAAAATGAAATGGTGAAATTTTTGCATTTCAGTCTTATGGAACGATGTCGATATCGAACTTAACAATAAATACTAATGAAGTTGTTGCTGGTAAACATCGGATGACTGTTGAGTGTAATGCAAGAAATGACGAAGGCACGACCTCAAAACAGCACGTGATCAAAATTCTCGGTAAGCGTTTTCTAACAAGAAGATTTCAGCGTTCAGGTTTACAGTGTTATTGATTTAGCCCCACCAATGCCTCCCCGGATTACTGGACTCGAGGAGGGTATACATTTGGAAGGGCTTGTGCTCAATGTCACATGCGAAGCTCACGGAGGAAATCCACTTGCTGACATCTCGTGGTATAGAGGATACGATAAGGTATGTGAAATCCAAGTAGAGAGTTCAATTTATGTTACAAAGCTGTAAAGAAATTTGGGAAATGATTGTGTTTGAGCGTGTACCGAAAGGAAAGCGGAGACCCCGATGGTCAAAGGTGAGATTCCTAGCAAGTTCTGTGGTCGTGCAATGTTGTTGTGATTGGTGAAATTTCCCGAGATGAAAATAGCGAGTGCTGATCTTCCCTTGTGATGCGACCTTTTAAGGTTTCGATATTAAGCTTCATCATGAATCTATCCAGTCGCCTGTACGCATCCATGTTCAATCCGCGGGCGTATTTATCTGTATTTACAGCTGACTGAATAGGCTCTCAGTGAATGACGCTTTCTCGAATGTTGGAGTTATTCAGTCGAATGCCAGTATATGATGAGCACTTGTAGTAACCAGGGTCAAGCATGGCGTCGCCGAAAATCCCCTAATACGACTCCCCCTCCCCTATATGGGACACCTACACACAAGGAGAACGTGTGAAGAAATATAAGCGCTGTTGTTGCGCGTACGTTGACAAGAACGAGCGCCAAGGCTTAGGCTAGAAGTTGAAAATCGCACCACTTTTCAAACAGGTGTAGCTTTCTCCAGAATAGACTTCACAGCAAGGGACACGATTGAAGAATCTGTTGCACCTCCTAAATACTATGATACTTTGACTTGGCTGCATACAGCGAGAGACCTATCCTTCAAATTAACGCGGAACTTTTTCAACAAGCATTTTTCACCATTTCACGAGTACGCAATTTCACTTCCGACTCACCGTACTCATAGTATTTACTTACGAACATCATCTTTTTCCGAAGAGAGCAAGACACTGAAAGGTAAAAGATATCTCATTCTAAAGCATTCATCATCAGTTACTTTGTAAACAAAACGCTTTAAAAATAGCCGCGTAACAAAGAATAATTTTGCAACTCGACGCAATTTCGATGAACTATTTGAATCTGTACTTATGCTTTTTGTGAAAGGGATGTGGTATTTGCTCACAAATTGAGGTAGAAAGCTTTTTTTCCGTTATGGAGTGGGTTTTCATATCATTGTCTAGAACTCCGGCCCTGGTATGCCACTAGAATTCACGAGGGAGCCCATGACTTTGGAATGCACCACAGTCTTGACTCCCAAAAGGGACCGCAGAAGCGTTGTAGTGATTTCATGTATGTTCATGCAATGTTTTGTGGAAGCCAGCATATCTGCTCCTACATAGTCTGATGTGTCAGTCTATGTTTGCAATGAATTCTCATACACTGCATTAGTAACACGTCTGCATCATTCTACCTGTGAAGACCCTCTGTATGACGCGCTTCTACAAATCATAAAAAGGCATCAGTATCGCTTCTGCCAGTTCTCAGCTCAACCCGTCTTCCTTTTCTTTTAGAGGGACACCATGGCTTCTTCCTGATCTCTTCACTTATGACCCCTGCCCTCCTCGCAGCTTGAACACAACCTCGTTCCGGATTCCACAACGCATGCTTGACCCTGTCCAACCTACCTTTTAGCTCCATTCTGTAGTTGGAAACACTTCTCATAATAGTGGATGCTTGAGATGTCTGATTTTAGATCCCTGGTGCACGGTCTTCAGTTT